TGACAATGAATCACGCCCTTCATCCACGCAGTGACACTGATAGACTTTATCTACCAAGGCAAATAGGTGGGCGTGGAATGCTACAAGTACATCAGATGGTTGAAGAAGAAAAAATGGCTTTGGAAGAATATCTGAAGAACAATGATGAAGATGCACTGAAATTAGTATATCAGGAAGGCTTACTAACTACTGGAGAGACCAAACTGGCCTACAAGAAAGACCAAATGAAGAACAGAATAGAGGCATGGGAAGACAAAGCACTACATGGCCAATACATTAAAAAATAGCTGGGAAAGCAGATAATAATAAAACCTGGCAATGGCTAAGAGCAGGAAAATTGAAGAAAGAGACCGAGGGACTAATTCTGGCTGCACAAGACCAAGCCTTAAGGACAAATGCATACAAAGTCAAAATTGAGAAGACAGCAACAGACAGTAAGTGCCGCCTATGCAAAGAAGCTGAAGAAACAGTGGACCACTTGGTAAGCTGTTGCAAGAAGATTGCACAGACTGACTACAAGCAGCGGCATGACAAAGTAGCAACAATGGTGCATTGGAAGATCTGCAAAAAATATCATTTGCCTGTAAGCAAAAACTGGTGGGATCATAAAATAGAGAAAGTCATAGAAAATGATAAAATTAAACTGCTCTGGGACTTCAGAATTCAAACAGACAAGCACCTGCAACATAACACCCCAGACTTAACAATTGTCGATAAGAAAGACAAAAAAGTCTGGATAGTGGACATGGCAGTGCCTGGAGACAGCAGAATAGAAGAGAAAGAACTGGAGAAGATAACAAAATACAAAGACCTACAAATAGAAATAGAAAGACTGTGGCAAAAGCAAGCAAGGGTAGTACCAATAGTCATAGGCTCCTTGGGTGCAATCCCAAAACAACTGGAGCACCACTTGAACACCATTGGCATTGACAAATTTGCTATTAGTCAATTGCAAAAGGCGGCCTTATTAGGAACTGCTTCCATCCTGCGACGATACCTGTAATACCATCAAACATCCACATCTGCCTATCCCAGGTCCTGGGTAAGGACTCGATAGGTAGACAAAATGCCAAATCCAGTCTGAACATCTGGCTGACTGTGCGATGATCGATAATAATAATAAAAATTGGAAGGGACCTTGGAGTTCATCTACTCCAACCCCCTGTTCAAGCAGGAAACCCTATATCATTTCAGACAAATTGCTGTCCAGTCTTTTCTTAAAAACTTCCAGTGTTGGCACAGTGTCAGAAAAGTTCTCCTTAGTTCTAGGCTGCTTCTCTCTTTGGTTAGTTTCCATCTTTTGCTTCTTGTCCTGCCTGCAGGTGCTTTGGAGAATAGCTTGACTCCCTCTTCTTTGTGGCCACCCCTGAGAGATTGGAACACTGCTATCATGTCACCCCTCATCCTTCTCTTCATTAGACTAGACATACCCAATTCCAGCAAATGTTCCTTATGTTTTAGCCTCCAGTTCCCTGATCATCTTTGTTGCTCTTCTCTGTTCTCTTTCTAGAGTCTCAACATATTTTTTACATCATGGTGACCCAAACTTGATGCAGTATTATAAGTGTGGCCTTACCAAAGGCATTGTAACAAAACTGTAAAATATTCTTTATTTTCTTTGCTTGTATCTATTAGATCAGGAAATAATTATTTGCCAGTAGAACAATATATTGAAATGGTTGAATACATATATCCATAGAGAATTCTATATGAATTTATCTAGTTCTATTACTTGAGTTTTTATAAAGAGGAATTGTGTTACTTGGTGAGATTGAAAGAAAAACCTGGAGGAATATTCTTTGGATTATTTGACATATGTACAGAACTATAGGATTCTATTTGTAGTTTTACTATGTTAATTAATAATTAATTAAAATTAATTTATAATTATAACTTTAATATATGCTTAGTAAAATTATACTATTATTTTAAAACTGAATTTGCTCATGTTTTACCTTTAAGAAATATTTTTCAGCAATCATATATTCTTCTTTCTGATTAAGTATCAGTTTATAGAGTTAATATTACCTAACTTTGATATGACTGAAAAAGATTATGCAACCAGGTGAAGAAACAAGACACATTTAAAAGTTGTTCAGACATTCCAAGGGGAGTTTATATCCATTAGAATTATATTTGGTATTTAATTATATTAAATTAGGTATTTGTCTGTGTGTAATATAATTTCGTCCTTCACTTTTGCCTTATAACACTTTGTCTTGGAAGATAACATCTGTCCAAAATCATCTGATAAACTTTATAAATCCAACAATTTAAAAATCCTAGCTGTCATTCCTTTTTTTTTATCCAAAGCACAATATAGATGAGTTTATTATTCTCAGTGTGTACCTGATTGGTACAGAGAGACAATGCCACCACTCTGACGTCTGTGTACTGACATTAGCAATTTTCAAAGAGTCAGACATCAGCCGTATCTGAGGTTAAGAATTTTGTTTTCTGACTTTTGATGGCTGCCTCATGCAAGAATAACAAATGACTATTTAATTTGAGATTAAAAAAAGAATTCCAATATAAAACTTAAGGAGACATATGTTATATTTTCATTATATAAAATTATGAGTTTTATAAGTAAAACAGAAATAACAACAAAAAGATTAGAAAAGGAAACCAGGAAACTAAGAAAATAAATTCTACATTTTTCAGAAATGTTAGTACACAATGCTCTTTCCCATCTGTCATCTCTATTCCAGAAATGTTTATTGTACCAACACTGAGAAGTATTTTGCAAACCTATTGAGTGACACATACCACAAGGAGATATAGTAACAGGTTTTTAAGATTCAGGATTCTGTGTATTTATAAATCAACTTTCAGTTTACCATAGCTAAAAGGTATCTGTGAAAGAAGAGAGGTTCAAACTATGCTATTCCTTGCATTCATGCAATGCAAATATGGGTGGGTTTTGTTGTTGTTGCTGCTGCTGCTGTTGTTTCATTACTTTTATACAATAGAGTAATAGATATAACTGAGGCTCATACTGAGTGAAAAGTTCTCCCCAGAATTTAATGATGGAACAGACGCTTAAAGTTAATTTCAGAAGTATGTTGAAAATAAATTAAGTAAGATGTGAAATTGAGTTATAGAAATATATATTGTTTATTATTTCTTACAACTTTAGTTCCAAGGTGGACTTTATATTCAGGTTAAAGAATACATGACATGAGGACAAAGGACAGGGAAAAAGTGGCTATATTTGAAGATGTACATTGCTGACAAAAAGGACCCTATTTGTGCTTTAAAAAAGAGCATCAATGAAAAAGTCCTTTTAAGATGTCATTGATACATAACCTACCATGTTATATTGTGTCAATGAGCATAGCCTAATATAGTTACTAGAAATAGTTCAGGTCTCTCCATTTCTTTCTTTAGCAAATTTTGATATGAAAGCTGAAAGTACAACTTTGCAGCAATACATTGTCTGCTTTATATTTATCAGTTGAGTTGAAGTAAAACATACTGTATATCCCACTGAAAATAATGCCTAAAGATATTCCTAAAAGTATTTACCATTTATCAAGGAAAAATGCTGCAATTCTGGCAACACAGCTAAAATAATTTTCTGAATACTCTAAAAACTCAGTACAGCGTAAAAAGATTGATAGGGAAAGGAAAGTGATTATTATTTTTTAATTGCAGAAAATATAATATTCCACTGAGCTGATGGGACAACTCCCTCAAACTGTCTGCTAAAAACATAACATGGATTTTTTTTTTCATTTATACCGGGATTGGAAGAAATACTTTTTTACATGGATTGCTTTAAAAATGTATTATTTTGTTTTGAACATTTTACAGAAATGTTTTATTTTAATACATTACTTCCCCAGATGCTTTTTTTTTTTTGGCTTTGGTTAAACTCTCACAATAACATCAGGCTACTTTCTTGGATGAAGAAGCAGTTATAAAATTGCAAATGTATACAAGTTGGCCCAAATACAGCCCAAATGGAACTATGACAAGCCCAGTGATTTAGATCAGAGAGGCTGCAGAGCAGAGGGGAGATTATTCACACACATACACAAAAACACATACAATTGAATTTCAAGGATCTGTTACAATTGAGAAACAGGACTGTTTCAGTGCAATGGTAGAATAAACAAAGTTTAAAGGGCGGGAAAGGCAAATGTAATGCAAAAGGTTTTGCTTATCTTCTGTACCAGCTCTCTGTTCTTTATATTTTAATAATAAGTTGATCATAACTTTAAAAACAGACAAACAGTCCTCTGAAACAATTGTGCTAAAAGATACAATGATCAGAAATGCTTCCACCAAGAGTGGAGAATCTTTGGCCCTCAACCTAATTTTAAGGGGCCCCGGGAGCAACTCCTATCAGCAATCAATTGTAGGAGAAGAGGCAGAGTCTGGGGCAGAGTTAAAAGAGTAATCAGTCTGGAGCCATTATGTTGCCACAAACGATCCAAGTCCAGCCCTCTTGAATTCCATTAACTTTAATCTAAGGCCAATTTAGTTCTGACCATTAGCTAACTAGCTTCTTTTGAGCAATAAATCTTTTTAACTGGGACTTAACTTGTGGTTATGATTCTTCCTGCCTGACATTATTTCAGTTTTACTGGCAAAAAGCAGTGTGTTGAAACCTGCTGAGCGGAACAAAAAAGAAACTAGGAAGGATGTCACAATGGATGAGCCTACTTTTGAAGGAGTTAGATCCCAAACCCCATCTGGGATAAGATCTTTCTTCTAATGAAAGGCAACTTTCAACAAGATAAAATGTACACTCATCCTTCTCTGCAGTCTTGGAGAAGATATCTATGAATTTGTGGCAATAGTGAAACAAAACTAATGATTGAAACTATTAAATAAATATTTCATTAAATTTTATTTTAAAGATATAGAAACTTTTGGGGAGAAATTTTGAGGAAAATGCATTCATCTTTATTCTCAGTGAACATCGTATCCACAAAAGTTGATATTAACAAAAGTACGTTGCTAAGTGATATAATAGAAAACTTTTCCCTTACCTTTATTGTACATATTTGTTGGTACTTGGACATCACTCAAAGTGACATTCACCGGCAAATTGTTGAAATGGTCATTTGGTTCAAGGATGAATTCCTTTCCTAGTTCTAAAAAGTTTCCATCTTCATCTCGTTCATTAATGAGAACAGCATTGAAATATTCATACTGAAATAGAAAACCAGTGATGATAAATCTATAAACTGCTTTGTTAATACACTTGGATAAAACCAAGTCAGTTTAATTTGGCATGGGTCCTACAATGTTAAATTTGATGTACAACAAGGCCAGAAGAACAATTGCATAAATTATTATGTAGAAGTAAACCATCACTAAACCTGAAAGCTATGTATACATTTTATTTATTTGTTTGTTTGTTTGTTTTATGACATTTTGTACCACAATGTCCAATTTGATGTATAAGACCAGAAAAATTGCATAAATATTATGTAGAAGTAAATCATCACTGAACCTAAAAAGCTATGTATACATTTTACCCCTCTCTCTCTCTCTCTCTCTCTCTCTCTCTCTCTCTCCCCTCCCTCCCTCCCTCTCTCTCTTTCTCTCTCTCTCTCTCTCTCTCTCTCTCTCGACATTTCTATCACTTCAGTCATAGTTAATTCAAAGAAACTCACAGTTTGGAATATTAGCAGTCTAAAACAGTACACTAGTAATCATAACATAAATGCAATAACGTAAAAAATAATCTATCTGCATATATTCAGAGCACCACACTTTAACCAATATGGTCTGAAATAAGAATGTTCTGCAACACTAGAGAGGAAGTGGCTATCCTTGACCCTGGGAGAGGCTATTCAATAAGAGGAGAACCCACAGAGAATGTCCACCTCCTGAATCCTGTCACATTTATTAATAAATGGGAACTCTTAGGAGTCACTACTTGTTTATAGGCACTGAGGAAGCAGATTCTACATCAAACAGACAACTCTAAAGATACTAGGCCCAAAATCAAAAATGACTTTATAGCCAATTTAAATTACACATAGAAATAAACTAACAGTTTATTTCTTGGACCATAGTGTTACCTGAGAGTAGCACACAAGCAGCTGCATTCTAGAACCCTGGTGGTGCAGTGGTTAGAATGCAGTACTGATGGCTAATTCTGCACAAAGACAGGACTTTGATCCTGGCCTGGTCAAGGTTTATTCAGCCTTTCATCCTGCCCTCCTTAGTGAGAGCAGTTTTGGTAGTCAGGATTGTAGTAATTAGGTCAGTCCCCATTTTTGGTAAATGTGAAAGGACTCAAGACATGAATGTTCTATGTGGGTACTCCACCTCTTATTGAATGCTTCTTCTGCCTGCTATGCACACCTCTGCTTCACTCCCCTCACCCCTACCTCCTCATTTCTGATCTTCTGGCCATCCTGCCAACACGGTAGTCCTATGTTTTGTTGCCCTGTTGCCCCTGCTGCTCTGCTGTCCATGACTCCTGCTGCTCTGTATTCTGCCACCCCTGCTGCCCCCAGATGGCATTCAGGGTCTTCTTCTTCCCATTCCTGACAAGGCCAGCATGCCCTGGTTGTTTAAGGCCTTCAGAAGGCCTCAATTTATTCTTAGAGGATAGCCAGGAATATCAATACCTACCAATTTTTTAGATTTAGAGGAAACATATGTTTGAAACCAGCTGTTGGAGATCACTTGTGGGAGAAAGCTTTGCACACATATATTCCATTTGAATTCCCCATGATATTAAACTGCTCTCAGAATGACTTAGCAGGGTTCTTTTTATGTTCTTATGACATTTGAAGGAGAAAGATTTACAGATTACAGGATAGATTTAATTTTTCTTCCAACATTAAATAACAGATAAGCAAAAAGCAATTTAGATAATAATATTGATTATTTTTTAGCATGACCTAGGTCAAACAGAGACTGCATCTAGCTCTTGGAACAAGTGAAGTCTCTGGTAACCAAGGCTTTTAAACAGTGAAATAAAAACAGAAGAGAGAATATAATGTTAAATATGTCATGTGTTTTGTTGTTATGGTACTGTTTTACCTTTACCTCAAGCATTATATTAAGTACTTTGTAATCATAGATACCAAACTCAAGCAAGATCTTCATACAATTTTCTATAGTTTCGTGATTTAGTTGCATAACAAAGATCTACATAAATTCTTCACCCAACCAGCTGAATATTTTTTTCCTAACAATTGACCTTAATCTTATTTGCAAGACTTCACACAATAATTCATTATAGCAATTAAATAATGATAATTCAACTGTTGATGATAATTACACTGTCTTTAAACTTAAGAAACTACTTATATTATCGATCAATATTTTGTATCCAATAACATAAATCCTCAGAATTTCAGGCAGAATATATCTTCCACTGCACTTTAAAACCATTTAAGAATATTGAATGCTGTCCTATACCAATTCAGATTTTACCAAATCCAATATTGATTGGTAATGCTCATCCAATGTTCAAGCAAATATTTTTTAAATCTTTTTGAAAATTGCTGAGACATCACTGGAATCTTCTAAAAGGAATGTATATGATCTACCAGAGAACTTCTGCCCTCTTCTTTAAAATCTTCTACAGAGATTATGCTATAGCTTTGCTATACAATTTCATTGAATTCAGAGTCTCTTTCAAATGCCAGGGGCATCTGAGTTAAATCAACTAGCAACTGGGGGAAAAGGGAAGCACATTCATGTATGTGGCTTTCTGTGCATAAAAATGTTATTTATAGGGGTTCCTCAAGCACTCACACTGACTTTCTTTAAGAAGAAATTATAAGAAATACCAGTTGTAATGGACTAAACATCAGGCTCTAAGAACTGAATTCAGAAAAAAGCTGCTCAATGTATGGTATGACCAATGAAGATATCAATCTTTGCTGGAATGAAGTCACTTGAAACAACTGTGAATATGAAGTGGATACACTTAATACCCACAGGGCTTAATTTATTCTTCTTCCTATCTCTCCCACAACTTAATGAACATTGCCTTATGTTCCTTATCCTTGGAGCTAAGTGAATACTGGTTGACTTAATAGATATTTCAGCCCTGAGAAATGTTAGTTCCTAGCATATTCTCAATTGCAGGAGTTCATCTATTTCAGCAATCCATGCCATTGATTCATGTGGGGTTATACTGTAATAAAGGCCACAGGCACTGACAGCTTGAACTTTGTGAACTCCTTGTTTCCTTCTTTAGTCAATTCACAACCAGTGAGGAGATACTCAGCTCTTTCTCAATTTCCCCTAGTATGTGTGACTGGAGATAAATTGTTCAAGGACTAATTCTAACCAAAATCACTCTAGCTTATCCAATACATTTCTTTAAAATATTTAACATTAGTGCTTAAAAAAAGATTCAAGCAATTACTCTTTGCATATCTTATTTCAGATATTTTAAATACAGGGTACATTCCTCAAATATATGTTTTGTTCAAATCTTAGCAGCTATAAAATCCAGTGGCAATGGAATGCCATTCCCAATACCACAATTTTGTTACATCCTACTGAACCAAAATACCTTATTCTGTTAATAAATCTTGGTACAATATTTTGGATGTAATACATTGATATTATCAGTTTCCATACACATATCCCAATTCTTCCATTTTATTCACAGATGAGTGTTGATTGATTTGTCCTTATTATATAGCAACTCTTTGAAGTCTAAAGTGCATTTTGTTTTAAACAGAATAAATTCCAGCAGTGGTCTGCATAATATTACTTGCACTCATGTTGGTATTGATCCATTGGGAATTTTTCCTAGATAAAGCCTTTCTGTATTCCTTCATTATCATCTTATCTTTATTAAAGCAGTTGTGCTCTAAATATTCAGATGCTGGATGATAAATATGTCTACCTTTCTAGACAAGCCTTTTTGTCAGATGGTAGATGCTGATGCGCTGAGTATAACTTTCAATGGAGGCATTTTAATATAAGCAGAACTCGATATAAGAAACAGAACTACATTATCACTTTATTGATCTTCCTCTTCCCATTTTAATACATATATGTGCATATTGTACAGTCCTATTTATGGTTTTTATCTACTCCTATGCAAGTCTGACATAGTTGCCTTTTAATCTTTCACACTCATAGAGAATTTCTTAAAATTTGTTTTCCATCTTCCAATCCTTCACAAACCAGTTTCAAGCCAATCTTCAATCATCTTCACTTCTATGGCTTTAAAATGCTAAAGGAAAGGCAGGGAAAATCATAAGCCAAACATTTATCCTTCCAACTGACCAGCACGAGACTTTTTCAAAATGGAATTCAAACAATGCCTTTCCTGAACTGCCATAGCTCCTGGAATAAACAAGCAGTTATAGTCATTCCCCTGAAATGTGTCCTTTCCATCAGCCCACCTGTGGTATGGATTGGTGTATCAATGCAAATGCTTCTCATTTGCTTTCCCAGATGTTTGCACACAGGAATGTCCTCGTTCCCAACACTGTCTTCCTTGATATTAATGCAGATCTTTCTTTTCCTCCCTTATTGTAGTATCACTGCTCTGGTGCTGCAATAATCAAAGCAACAGAATGTTCTTTGGACTGCTGGAGGTCCATACACATGTTTAACAAGGAAGAACAAATAATTCAGTATCATAGAAATAAAAATAGCAGTGTTTCTAGATGAAAATTATACACATAGTCCTTACAGCCCAGCGACCTACTAGTGAGCTTCGATGTCATATCCCTCTTCACCCAAGTGCCTATCAAAGAAGCCTTGACAGCTATTCAAAACAAATATAACCCCCCCAAACACATCTTAGATCTGACCAACCACTGCCTATCCAACACATACTTCATCTATAATGGACAAAAATACAAACAAACAGAAGGAGCACCCAGGGGATCACCCCTCTCACCTGTCATTGCAAACCTCTACATGGAACACTTTGAAACCCAAGCTCTAGAAAAATTGGATCACAAACCCAAACTCTGGCTCAGATACGTAGACGACATCTTCATAATCTGGCCACATGGGAAAGAAAAACTGGACAACTTCCTCACACACCTCAACAGCCTACACCCCAAAATACAGTTCACCATGGAAACAGAAGCTAACAACCAACTTCCTTTCCTGGATGTCTTAGTCTACAAGAAATCCAATGGCTCCCTAGGACACACCATCTACCAGAAGAAAACACACACAAACCGCTATCTGCACGCTCTCTCACA